ATTAAAGTAGGCATCGTCTTTAAAATGACGAAAAGCAAGTACATTACAGGTCAGCATGAATCAGAATTTATGTCTTAAGTGTGATAATTTGTATCGAACATTATTTTCATCAAGGGAGAAGTAACGAATATACGATGATAATTACAGGGTCAATTTGGTAACTTGTAGATTTTTGGTGACTGTTTTAAATGTTGTGAAGTTATTTAGAATTTTATTGCGGTACCATGGTTACAGCAAATATTCGAATGAAAGTACAAATCGTACCACAAATGATTATAAAAGTATTGCTCGAAACGTATTCAGGTAACTTAGAAACTGTCAACCACTGTATCATTTATTGATTTAGTTAGCAAATCATATTATGTTTTTTTAGTAGATATATCTATATTTTTCATGTTGGATATGGTAATAACTGACGTCTATCGCTTACATATTATATATTTAGCTACATTTACTATCATACTGGTGCTAAAATGTTTGGCAATATTTTCTAAAGTAATTTATCAAGTGTTAAAACGGAATCCTGAATTCTATTATATACGAGATATATAAAACTCGACGTAACCTTTGGGTTAGATTTATCAATCTTCTATGTAGTGAAAACTCATATGAGATCCTATATACATGTAATGATATCCTTTTTATGTGATTTGCCAATAGAAACTCTACAATAAGTATAAAACAAGATGAATTATTAAACACTGCTTGCACACACGACTCTGTCATTCCCTCGGGCTAAAAAATAATCGTAATATACGTCCTCTGAAACTGCAATTTAAGTCTACTAAATAAATTTCTCAGAAATTCATAAACATTTTTCTTAGAAGCAGTTCATCTTTTAACAAAAACCTTGGAAACATCTTCAAATGTAAATTACTGTATCCTTAGAAATTTGTTTAAAGTACAAAGCTGTTTCATTCATCTATGGCTTTCTAGCGATGCTAATGATTAAAGTTGTGGAAACCCTGAAAAGGTTTTTGAACATCAAAATCGCCTTAAACAAATGTTAAAACATTAAAGAAAGATAAACAAAAGTTTTACGTGTATAAACGCTTGGTATTGGATCATTTTTCGGCAGAGCCTTTTAAGATCGTTTTGGGATTCCCTCTGTATTTGGATATGCCTTTGCTTCATTTTCTTCAAACATTGCAGAGTGAATGTTTATCGAGTCTCCCATTGGTTAATGATGCAGTTTATACAGAATATAAATCAGGTTTATTAAATAATACGAATTAGGGATAACAGTTTTATATTGCGGACAATTGTTTTAAGATATGGCAGAATCACGACGAAAATGGTTAAAATTACTAAGCTGCACAATAAAATTTGAAATGTTCACATGATGTTTTAATGGCGGTATAATACATATCGCGTTCGTACTGGTGCAACAAAAACAACATGTTCAATATGAACAAAGCCTAATAACTTCAACTCTTCATTCAGTATACACTTGTAACTTCAGTTATTATCTGTGTTAAAGAGCCTTTCTGGATGTAACTTATCTAACTCTCAGCTTCACAACTGTCTTTGAATTTAGAATCAACGATATTAAAACTCTGCCATTTATCTCCGTATTGTTGTTTGAGATCAAGTAAACGTGGTCGCTAATGGTCGAGATAATCAGTTATTCAGGAGAGTCTGATAGATAATGGTCATTCGATTCACTGCATGTGGCCAAGCAGGAATGACGTCTTCAAGGAACAACAGATGAATGAAATGTTTTCTGTACTCTTGGTTGATTGAGAGACCGTGTCGTTGTCTACGTCCTATACCACTTAGCCTTTGTTGGTTTTGGCATTGTTGAGTGCGATGACTTCATCAACTCGAGATTACAGCAGAACAGGTCAGTGCTCTCGTTCCAGTCTCGGCATGACTTCGGACCTTGGACACTTGATATAACCATGATAAGACTTTAGTCCACCAGATGGCACTCAAGTAGTCTCCTTAAACGCCGATAAGCACGTGTTGTCGCAAACAAGTCCATTTCCGGTCTGGAATGACTTAACAGTTCTGTCTGCCCTTAACTGATGGAAATTTTCGAAAGCCTAAACATTAAATCGTCACAGAAACCATGGTTTATCAACTTGTGAGAAGAAGGGGTTAATTCTTGTGTTCATCGAGATGACGGAGCATGTTGATGTATATTATTTTTTGAAATGTGGCGATAAAGCACAATACATACTTTACGGCACCTGTACGTCGCATGCAAGCATTTTTCTCTCCCATATCCTTTCTTTTTTTTTCTTTCTCATAAAAGCTTTGTCCTTTCTCCTGATCCAGTCTGTCGCACCCAAGCTTTGCTCCTCCCCATACCCTCCCATATCCTACTTGTCTTATTCGAGGTTATTTTCTCCTCCAGTTGTCGCACCCAAGCTTTGTTCCTATATATTGCAGACCTCCCTTTATCACATAAGGCTATGTAACATGTGTCAGTTTTCGTACCTTTTCTATAAATGCAAAAACAACCAGAAAATACCAGCAAGTCAACGAAAGCATTGTCCTAACCCTAATTCAATAAAACCAAGCAAACCATCTTCAAAGAAAAATGTACACAGATACTCTCCAGAAGAGTAAGCGTCTTCTGCTCTTTTTGTCACAGAAGAATAGATAAAAAATCGTTTCCGCACATTTCCAATCAAATTGAAGACCTTTCGAAATAGAAAGCAGGACATAATGTACGTGGAAGCACATCTCTGGCGTTAGAACGTTATTCAAATATATAATTCACTATTTTCCCAACAATAACAAAATTACAAGGATAAAGCAGGTAACATAGATATATTAGTCTATCTTTCCTAACCGAGTGTTACTAATGCTCGTTGTTGGCAGTATAAAACATTTTAACGTTTTAATCGTCGTTGACATACTATATTTCGATGAAAACAACCATGCTTGCCAGTGTGATAGCTATCCTCACTGGGACCGATTCTGGATATCTTTACTCAAAATATACAATATCTGTGATGGTGTTCTCTCTGTTAGACATAGTATCTCAGTGAGGCGATAGTTATATCAGTTGTTTCTTTAGTGTATATTTATTCTATCAATATTGGGGGAGTAGAGTTATAGATCTGCGGAGTGACCACATGCAGCTTGAAGTCCTTAGACAACAGTTCTTCAACAGTCCGCTCTATTTCACAACATTTTGGGAACGGCCCTAAAGCTACTTGTACTAAATTATCGATCAAAATCTTTTTTAATAATGTCACGTCTTTGACAGTAAATTTATTCTTGTCTGTCATGCTGTAAAGATTCCGTAATACAAGGGAAAATACATTGAAATAAACCATGGTTGTATTCGAATAAAAGATTTACAATTACTAGTTACTAATTAGTTTTGACATTTTAAGGAGTTTCATTTCATTATTCCTTTCCTGGTCTTGCACGGCAGTATCCCATAAAGGCACTAAGCAATGATCATTATCAGATGTTGCTTATCAACTAATTCTTACATATATCCTAATGAAAAAATCGATAAATTGATTCATTATTATATTATTCTAATAGGCTTTATAACATTATTATTAATATACAGGTAGGTTTATTGATATATGGATACATTGTACTAAGGTTTTAGTAAAACATTTCTTCATTCAAGATTTCTTCGATTAATGCATCTTAAGAATGTACATGACTTTAATCATTGTCCCATTCCTTTTAACTTTTTGATGACTTCATACAAGTAATCCGTTATAACCTACTGACATTCAACGTCACTGCTTCAGAATTTGTTGAAACACAATTACTACATTGATATACTAAATATTTGGCTTACTATCGATACGACATTTACTCCAAAATTACTTCGAATAGTCGCACAGTTCTATATATACACATGTACTTGATGCTGTTAAGGAAGTGATTTAATCATTGGGCTGCAGCACCTCCCCGTCAGGAGTTTTACATTTCTTCCGATCACTTGGGATTTTCCTCAGTCTCCTCTTAGGCTTTAAAATTTAGGACCATATAAGGTCCTATAAGGACGAAACAGGTGTATGCAGTTTTACTCATTTTTTGGCTCTTTGGTATTTAATTCCAAATTATCAAAAGGTGCTATTCTCGTGTGTCTTTTGTACAATCTTCAGTAATACATTTACTAGTACTCCAACGAAATGTTTACAATCAAGGAGACTTTTGCTAGTACTCCAATTAAATTCTTTTTATCCAAATTTTCAAATTCATCACTACAACGCTTTATTATTTGCATGCATTTTCCATAGCTTCCATCTACCCAAAACTGGTCTCCCAGTTTCATACAATTACTCGGATGAAATGTTAAAGTGAATCCTTGCATCCTTTTAGTGAACAGTTGTCAATCAAATATTCATGAAGCACAAATGGATGACAAAGAAATTTTCTCCGTCAGTATAAGGCTGTTACTTTTCCAATCATCCAATCAATGTTATATTTCATCAAGCCGATTAGTCTCTTATTTTTTTCAACTGAACTGTAACTGTCAATGAAAATTGTGTGTAGTCTAAGGAGAAATAAATTAATTGCTTTTGCTATTTTCATAAATGAATAACTATCTTAATTTGTGGACCCGCAGTTCGTCTCGAAACAACAAAAACGTGACGACATTAAAAGAATGTCCTGCCACTGTGTAACTCATCATATTATTGAACAGGTTTATAAATATGGTGATGGCTGTTACATATGTACGCTGTGTATCAACGTCATCTTAGTCGAAAGTAATCCATTTTCTATTCATGAAATCGTTTCCTGCTTCTACTTATAGATAATCTGTTTGTGTAGTTATTATTTTAAAATTATCAACATTACGTTTCAATGATACATTGTAGAAAATGACTCATGGAATTTCTCAATGAAAAAAAATATCGGAAACCATTACACATGATATACCTGGTAATTGTTAAAATTCGCTGGAAGAATTAAAATTTCAAAATTCATGACATGGTTGCCTCGTTTCCTTTATTTCCTGTCAACCTTTAAATTGACTCCAATAAGGTAAGGTATGTGAACAGATTCTTAAGACAATCTAAAGGTATAAACGTTATAGTTTTATTATCTTATTCTTATGCCATGAAGACAGAACAGATGCTTGCGTGAAGCACAGAAGTGAAAAATAAATATTGTTTAATAAATATACATTAAAATGGCGTACACACATATATCTAGCTCAGCTAGATTTCCTGAGACACATAAAATAAACACAATGGCAGTTTCTACTTTCATATCATACATTCCGTGTTTTACTAACATTCACCTACATAGATGTTACTTCATAGCACAGAAAGAGTCTTAATCGAATGATTGGCATCACGCATGTCAGAGATCGGGGTAGACTGTTCAACATTAGCCAAGGCAAAGATTGGATAATCTTTGGAATCACTGAGTGAAGGATAGACGTCTGTAGAGAATTTGAAGTCAACCACGGAAAACATCTTTTTAGTGGGCTTTACTTCAGGTAAAGATTCGTGAAGAACATCATTCATTAACAAGTTGTTTTTGGAAGGTTTGGCGTCACTCACGGTAGAGATTTTGTAGATTTTTTGGCTTCACTTGCAGTAAAGATTTGCAGAAAAAGTCCGAGTTCACTGACGAAAATGTCTTTATAAACGTTTGACAACACTTACGATGAAGTGGGAAGGAACTTGGGCATTAAATAGATAAAAAAAAAAAGTTTGTTGCGGTAAATGAAGTGGATCAAAACCGTATACGTTACAGTACTTCATCAAATGAAACACAATGAAAAACAAAGGTATCATCTTCTGACAAACCCAGCCAAGCCAAGTTACAGAGCTACGAGTTTGCACGGCACCAAAATATCTAGATTTTATAGCATACCCTCCGAGAAAACTTCTGATAGATATCTCAATTTCAGTCTTGTAGAGAGCCGGAAGGAGTCTCAGATTAAAACACTATGATGAATCAATTATCCTTTCTTTTCTTGTATGAAGGATAGAGACGATTTACTAATTGCGTCTTCTTGCAGTCAGTTTAAAGATGGACGGAAGCCTAGGCCGAAGTTAGAAGATTTCTACAACAAAAAACAAGTATATATCAATCTTTATAGTTATAAATGATAATAAAGAATCTTAAATGAGCTTCCATTCATGGTAAAATTAAAAAAAATGATCTTAGAATTTTTCATTTGAACGAGCTTTTGGTTGTTGTATAAAAATATAACGAATGCAAAGCTCCATTTCTCACATATCTTAGATACGTTAGCATTCATTCGCAATGACGCTGTAACGCCACAATGGAAACAGCAGCCAACATCACCTCCTCTAAGCCATGTAACACATGTAACATGTGCCATAACAAAACGCAATAGGTGCTATTACACAGCCAGGAGACTAGTTATGGGATAAATCATTGATCGATTTCAAGAGATCAATTTGTATTTATCTAATGAGAAATAGCAATGAAAAGATAAACACAAGAAAATAATGTTTAGCTGTTAGCCAACGACCAAATCCTTCTGCAAAGCACAATAATAACTTTTTTTGTCATGATCATCTTAGTTAAGTTGGTTGTTATGTTGAAGGTTGTGGTGGTGTTTACATAATTGCGTTATCAGAGAGTGAAATGATACATTCTCGCTTTGTCTCGTATTCCTTATTCTTTTGCCTAACAGAATCTATCTGCCATCGAAACACTACTGCCGCTGCCCAAACCTAATATTGTTTTCCTTATAAACAATTATCCGTCTGAATCTTATTATGCTCTAGACATATACTGATTAACCGGTTTTGCCGTTATGTAGCTTGACACCTCGCGGGCACAGATATGATCAGAGAGGCATTCAATGGCCTATCACATGCAGCATGTAAGACCAGAAGCTATATTATTTGGGATAAATATCGGGGCTCAATTAGGCGTTAAATCACTTTCATCTAAGTCATCTGAAACCATTAGCATGCGAAGTAAAACGATTCCAAACGTCTATTGCTAAAATACCGTCTATAATCATTTCTTAACAAGCGATTCCATAACGCTACGTCGCACCGGGTCGTTACGTGCTTGGCCTATCGTTTGGACAGGTCAAGCACAAGGACGCGTCCACTCGCGCTATCGCAAGTTTCTTATTTCGAAGTACTTCTTTTTGATGTGGCTACCAGTTTTCAGTTGCATATACAAATAGAATATAATAGAAATATTGTAATATAAAACCTACAAGGCAATAGAGCAACTCTTTTTCAATAACATTTGATATCGAGAAAGTAAATAGGAAGGTTAAAAAACTGTGTTCTCTGATTTCTGTTTATGACGTATGACTAAACGTTTTCTGTTTTATATCAAAGTTACTCTAATTTATATAATTCGTGTTATGGTGTTTTAAAATAATTGTGACTGATTGTATTTATACTAAATTGTTTATCTAAATGTATGTACAGTAATGTGACATCGATTCCATGAACTATGTCGGGAATGCTTTTGTGCTACGTAATTTACCGAGACAGCCCAACATCAACGAATAACAGGAACAATTATCAACTCTACATTTTCATACTCCCGTGACAGGACAGGCTCCAGTTGTCTTTAGTGTAAGATAAACGTATGTAAATTCACTGCAAAATCAGGCATACCATGTCTGGTAAGCTGGCACAATAGCGTTATTGTAACCATGGTCTCTGTATTTGCATCTATGATATAATTAAATAAATGAAGTATCTCTAGAGAACAGAATCTCCAGTCTATATCAGATTCGGACGTGGTTTGCTAGCCGGTACCCATGCTTTACGATGCCATAATTTAGTATGTACGAATGCATGAATGACAGAAATATAATTATATCTTAACGAACTTTCGTTGATATAGATGTTTTCCAATCTATATTGCTTGACAAGATTAGTAAAAAGACAATCACATACATATTTAAGGGAAACATCTTATGGGTTGCATGATTGGACGGGATTATTATTATTAAAATAAGAAAAAAGAGTGTTTCTATTGTTCTAATTCAAATAATGTGTTTGAATTCTGAAGGGAAGAGAGTCATAATTCTCGATACAATTATCTAGTAGAAATTTCATGACTATAGATGGAGCTGTTTTTACAAAAAATGAAAAGATTGCTTACCCATTTCATCACAATTGTTCCGGTGTTTGGCGTAAAATTTTATTTAATATTCTCTGTGTATTTGATCCTCTGAAATTCGGTACGCTGGATACATCCCTTTTCTTTCTACCGCTGTGAACGAAATATCATAGTATTATATTTTTACTAAAGTTGCTGTAAACTATTTAAGAGTGAAGAATATATAATTGAATACTACTGAATTCCCATTGAAGTTGAAATAACCATTGTAGACATTTAAAACGATATTCTTGTCTTTATTAGCTACTACACAATCAAATAATCCTGGTATCTTTGTCTATTAGGTATCGGCGTCAATGAATATAGAAAGAGTTATGAACAAAGATAATAGAATTAACTTTAAAATAGTAATGATTATGTTTTTATCGACGGCAGTTATACAAATATTTGAATTGAAATAGAATATCACCAAGAGTAAAATTTGAAGTGGCAAATATTCAAGAGGATTGGAATTAAGGTTATTGATCAGAGTTAAGCGTGACATGCATCTGTCAACTTTAATGAAGAAACACGGTCGCTGGATGGGATTACACGAGGGACAACAGTTAATAATACAATGTTAATATTAGCAGTCTTACAAAGAGTGATTGAAAGTAGAATAACATTTGAAATAGAGAAACTGCATTGGCTTTCAAATACAAATTGTCTACCAAGACTCAATGATATAGAAGGTGAGGATGCAATAGTAAGCGTATAAACGACATAGAAGATAGCTCCAGAACTAAGCAGAATTTTTCGAAAGATCACTCCTAGAAGTCACATGATTATACAAAATAGCATGAAAGCATGAGTAAAACATTGAAATAAACTATATACAGTGGTGAAGCTGACATTATCAACTCTCTCTCTCTCTCTCTTCTAGCCATGTAAAAGTAAAAACAGAAACAAAGAAATACAAAACACCGACATCTCTGTCCATGTAACCTTGACCGTCTTACGTACACGTAGTTGGGGTCAATGCGACCGTGACCTATCATACCACCAGCACCACGTGACAAGGCGATGAGCGCCATTAGCTCGGCGATTCTCTGATCGGAGGATGTTCTCTTGATCAATCTGTCATATATAGATATAGTGACAAACCTAACGGATAGCAGTTACACTGACCAACGAGAGAACGAACACCAAACACCAGTCATAGGTGAACATAACACAACTCAAATACAGAAAACACTCACCATGATGGACTATGAAACACTTTCAATAAAGATACATAAACACCAAGCTTTGTTGAATATAAATGAAAAGTTCAACCCTAATAAACATATACTTTCAGCACATGATTTAAATCTATTACTTGCTATATTTGCGTAAAATTGAATAAACACTTCCTATTAGTTACAGAAAAGTTAAATTTCGCACAAATAGAGCTTTAACTTCATTGCTCCCTTTTCATAGTGTCTAATGATCAATAGATATATTGTAAAACAGTGTTAATCTTTATCCAAAATTTATCATTTATGCGCCCTATATTACGAAGAACACTTAATATCATATTCCATATTATATTCCTCTATTTCTCTTTTCTTTATTGATTATTTATTTCATGATTTTAATTCCATTTGAAGAAATAGCGAAATTATAACTCTTGTGAAATAACAGCCTTAACAGTTAACGCTATGTCTCTTACGACCATACGAAAGCATTTTAAAGGACAAATAAATTCCAAAACCTCTTTAATCGATTTACATAGTAATAAACATAGATTAAACATTTTTATTATAAAGACACATCAAAATTTGATGACCAAAGAGCTCCTAAACCTAGCTCAACCTGACGTATACTGGGCGTAATAACTATATCCGTTTTTATACCTAAGGTACGATGTTGTATACCTGAATATATCAGAATACTCATTCAAACCCGTTTTATATAATATCATATATCTGAATGATATAACCAAATACGCCGTGACATCAATGTAAAAGTAAACAAGTGGGATGATCCAGTTTCCGGAAACATTGATAGAAGAGAGTGAAGGAACAGATGACACACCCGAGATTTTTCAATGTTTGACAGCCATAAGCCATGTCGACCAGCACAGAAAGACTACATTTGCCTGACAATGTTGAAGCTTTACAATTCTAGCCTATTCTGACACACGGACACTACATGTTCTACGTCACACAGCTACGTCACACGGCTACCTACATCCTATAAGGGTCAATCTGCCCGTGACCTAAGTCAAGGTCAGGACGGCCTTGTAAAGCAATTTGTGCTTTTAATTCCGCAATTCTTTGATCCGACCAGGATCTCTTGCTGTAAAATCTGTGGAAAAGTCAAACGTTAGGTCATGACATGCGGGCGGTGGTTCAACCTGTTATGTAAAATGCCTGCATGCTTATTGTGTTATTTCCTCGGCCATCACAACCATGTCCGACATGTCCGAATTGTTCAGGGTACTACGGGTCTACACATATTGTTGTAACTGACGCCAGGAAAACAAGTGATGACGTTTACCAATGAAAAGAAATTAACGACAGATTTGAAAACTTAGCATCAGTTTTACACACTGCTATAAAGTCAGTTGATCTTCTAAAATGTATAAAATTATAAAACTATTAACTTCCTGTTTAGTAGCGCAACGTACATCAATCCGTATCGAGTAATCCAACACTCTGAGATATTATTCTTGTATAACGATCATTCACGTGCTGTTTATTTAACGCTATACTTGTTTTAATCATAAACACAAAGCTTTCTGCTTTCCAAGACACGTATTATTTTTGTTAATTCATTTATTTTGGATAAGTAGTTGTATTTATTCGTCTATTTTTGTTTCGTTTTTGTTTTATTTATTACTTTTCACCTCACTTAACTATAATATCGTGTAGCCACGTTTTTGGGTTTTTTTAATGTTCATGTAGTTTGAAGGGTTGATATCCATAACCTTGACTACTCTATAGTGTTATAAAAGTCCAATGAATATGTTATTGAAGACAGACTTGCAACCATACAGGGTTGTCATGTTTGATTGTTTATACTAATTGAAAACCTCCACCGATGTCTAACATGTAGCTCAGATTTATGGGAACGAAGGCGTGTCTGTTTGTATTCTTCCTTTGGTTTAATCACGCTGCAAAATTTATTGAGATACGAGACGTCTTTTTCACGAGCGAGTTAATGAATATTTCGTGTTGTAAATGGAACCTACTCTATCAGAGGTATAAATTCAAAGATGAAACTTTCCTTTGCGCAAGAAGGATAACAAAACTATTTCACCGATTCCAATTATAAAATTTAATTAGCTGACTTTTTTTACGTCAATTATTAGAGAGAAAAAAATCCAGTTGTTAGTGTAAATTTATCAAACCTTTTAAATGTTTCGTAATGTAGAGGGAAAAGACAATTAAGATGTTATATCTTAACACCTGAACACCTGAACACAGCGGACATGGTTTGGTGAAGAATGAAGACGGGACGTTACCTTTCGAGATCTATTAGACCACACCCTAGTCTTGTACAACGTTGGAGTCGACTCTCTAGCTCTAACAGGGCAAGTACTTCCGCCATTCTTGCATCTGCTACTTGGCGTTTAACACTGCAACACCGACAACACACATGGACACCACAAACAAACATGACAATCAGAGTAAACACAGACTTCATTAACGGCAACATAAACACCTATCAAAGATATTACTATGCCTGTGTTTAGAATTATACACGGCATAGCTAGATTTTTTTTAATTACATAAAGGTCTAAACCGTTAAAACCTTAGAGTTGGTTGTGGAAAATCAAATTTAGCTGAATTAATGTCAAAATACAGAATTCCTAATAGAAAGTTCTAGTGTTAATCTAACATAATTGAAATAAGGCCAATTATCTCATTAACAAAGTTGTCCAATTAAAGGGATATATAACATCCTTATATTCTATTGATAACATGTACGAATATATTTTACTGAAACATATTTTTTTTAATAGATTACCATATACTCACATTGACCAAACGAATATAACAAACTTTGTATGATATATATAAACATTACTCAAACAGTACTCATATCTTACAAACCCGGACATACACCATAAAAATTATATTTTGAAAACATACATAAAAAGGTTGTATATATATGTGGTATTATAAAAGTTGTCGTTGTACACGCATTCATTGAAATATACAGATTTTTATCATATTGACACTGACTTCACATAAACACGCCAATAGAAACATGAACAAATATTAAAACGTTAAGGAAAATATTTACACATAATGGATAAAGTAGCTTAAATGTATATAAATCATCAATATAGATTCAGAACAATAATTGGAAAAATAACATTAACAAATAAGATATAATCTGATTACTGATATTGCTATTGATAAATTGTATATGCCATGAGACGCATGTTATTACGATATGTAAGTTTTCAGACAAGTTCACATGGTATCCTACTCTTGACGAGGAGTACGCCTAGGTGTTGAGATGACTGGCCACGTGAAAATGACAATGGCTAGCAGTGCCAGTATCTTAAGAACATAAAAACTTATAGAAAAAAAGGAATTTTTCATCAGTAGTTAGAGTCATTTAAACGAGTATGACAAGTTAGGATTTCCAGTTCTTCAATTTATTAAAACCACTCTTTTAAAACGTTATCGTATATAAAGGCATACTGTTCAAAATAATTAGAATAATATTGAAGCTTTGATGAAATGTATCAACTTACCGTGATCCCAAGTCGTCGTCCAGGAATCTAGCGTCTGTTACACAGGCAATTAGTAGTACAACAGCACACGTGCAGCTTAATAAGTATGTTCTCAGCATGTCTGTCAAATACAAAATATTAATACTATTTCTGTTAAATATTAAAACGTATTGATTGGAAAGACTGTCCTTGGCATCTAATTGATGTGAGCTGGACACGCCTGCCTTATAAGAAATATCAACTGGGTGAGTCATTGAAATGTTTTCATGTTGATGCGGAGAATATTGTATATTTGAGTATGTTTGTCATCAATTTTAATACAAAATGTATATATACATCCATTAACCCACTCATAAAAGATACATCTCACTTTATACGGCTAGTCATGTCCTTAAAACAATGTGTAGTTCATTATAATATACTCAACAGCTTCTCCAGCCTTGACTGCCGTGACTCATTAGGGAATATTCTGTTTCATTTTGTGATACGTACTTAAATGTGTTTGATAATTGTAGATCTCCCTTGTGTTTTTGTTGTTTTTTACCGTGTTCTCACAGATCTTATTTCTCTATTACATATTTACCGATATGTCAGTTATTAAGATAAAGACGCTACTATTCCTAAACACCTGGTCTTAATCTTCTTGCACGTTTAAGCTGGTGCCGAGTAAAGATAATCTTTGTTGATAAATTGTCTTATAATTTAAGATTTTATTGATATTCCTGACCTAATGATTTGTTTGACATGTCTTCACAAATACAATTGTATACATCTAGCGCTTCCCATATTCTGACGGCTATAACAGACGATATCATCTCAATCAATGGAAGGAGATATGTCTTGAAAAAAAATAAGGAAAATACCACTATATTAACAAAATCTTAATTTAAACATAAATTCGATGAAATCATGGCAAATAGGAAAAAAGAAATATTTACACGAAGACTCCTGAAGAGGAAATGGAGAATAAAATCATGCGTTCCGGAACGGTAAGCGTCTTCTGCTTCGTCGATTACCGCCATGTAAATATTGGTCAATTGAAGTGAGAAGTGTCATGTTTTTAAATGAGGAGAGGTTTAACAATAACGGAGCATAGTATTACTACAAAAGGACAAAATACGCCATAGATTTAAGATAAGCACTAGAGAGAAACAACAAGTGACATTCTGTCGATCCACAAAATAGACAGGTACAAAATGTTCACATCATAATCATAATTAAAACTCAATGTCAATAAAACTTGGACAAAAAAAGAAGAAAATATCAGCATATAAACAAAATCATAAATCAAATTCAAATAAAAAAAACATGTAAAAGGATACAAAGACCGTGTGTTCCTAAAGATAGGCGCGTTACGCATGGGTAATGTTAAACAAATCTGAAATCTGGGAGATCTCGAAATAAGACTGTAAAATACACCTTGTTCATAATCCTATACGTTTTGAAAACTGCTTAGATCTAGTAGTCATTAGAATATTGTATAGCCAAAACAAGTTACTTACTGTCCTAAAAAGACATCTTAAATCAGGCATTCCCCAAGTAATGTTAAACACTAACTGTCTTATAAAAAGTAAACGCTCCTCAGATCTGACGGAATGAAAAACGGTTGTTAATATGGCAACCCATTACCTGTTGAAGCTTTTTTCTGTTTATATATCTAAAAGACATCTAATTGATCTCCTGTTAAGTTGAGCAAATTGGAAAAATAAACGCAATATCATGGTACTAACTTACTTGGCTATCCAGATTATTTCACATTGATATGGCTTGTATTTTCTGTCATTTCATTGGAGTGTTTTAAATAATGAAGTTGATTTTGCCGAAATTTTGTTCAGAATTTCACTTTTTTAAATAATTAGAATCACTTCAAACCAGACAATTTCTGATTTTACACCTGCTAGTCAGCAATAGTAAAACGACAGTCTTGGAGGTCACAATACAGTTGTTCTCCCTATGTTTTACAGAACGTTTTTGTGGTTGTATTTCTATTTTATTTTATTTTTGTACATAAATGCATCACATTTAAACATGACCTGTCTTTACGGCCCGCAAGACAGTTTGTTTTATTCCATGCTTTGTTAAATCACTGGGTGTTAAAGACACCCGTAAGAAGGTTTGGCGGCAAAAATCAACAACATATCTTAATTTTCACCGAAAATCAAACGTAAAGCTCTGTCATTTTTTGATATGTTTCTTTACAAGAGGAAATCATCATTCCTCTAAATGAATCGCATCACTTGTAGTTTCATAAGAGAAAAAGAAAAAGTGATGAAGGATCATTTTGAATAGAACGGAAGCATGCGAGGCTACTCATTTATCAAAGTCTCTTATGCATTACTGTAGTAAATACAATATATTCTCTCTATGGTGTGTCCATAAAGAAACACGAATAAACCTAATAACAGCATAAAGCAATTGTGTTAGCACCAGACGTGATAAAAGACAACAGGTGGTATATAATTTATGACTCTAGGTTTGGAATAGTCTACAATATCAGTTAACGTGTTTGTATTCAACACGTCATCGAAGAGATTGATTGATGATTCGATTTCCAGCTTAACACTATTTATTAAAGCAGGTAGTATTTTTAATTGTCACATTAATAATAATTGAGACTTGAAAGTACGCATCATATAAATCTTCTTTGATCTCAGTCACACTGAGATTGCTATCAATCTAATGTTCAGAAAATTCAGACTTCCCATCAATTTAAGAATTTTTCATTGACAAAGCGTTGCGTATCCATCAATACTTAATTTTAAATGCCATTGACATGAGAATCTGACCACAGAAAGAGAACGAGACAAATTGAAACCACCCTTACGTTATCCTGTATAATATGTTCATTGTGTAGAAAACGTGCTTGTGTAATTAATACATGCAAGTATATACTTAATACACGGAAGGAACTCTTAACAGGCTTTGTAGGACTTTAATAATCTTTATACGGAAATGAATGTATGTGGTAACATCATTAACCACTGGCTTGGAAATGGTATGTAAATTTTTAGAAAGAAAGAGTAGTTTATGTGTTCAATATATGACAGCTAAGAGACAGAATGTGGTTTCAGTATGCAACACAATATTGGATTAATGTCCAATAACTTAATGGAGGGTTAAACTTAACATATCATTCTGTAACAGGCAACATCTCTGAGAGGACGGAAATATATTAGACACAATCATTTATTGGTTCTATCTAATGAAACAAAATTATAATAGGAATGTATTTTAGGAAACAGACAATATCTGTTTGCGGTAGTCACATTATGGATGTTATTGTCATTGACTAATATAATCCAGTTTACTGTGATATGATACTGTAGAATGCCATTTTTATCGATCTTGTCGACTTAGCATTAAGTATTAAAACTACCTATCGATGATATTCATAACAATCTAACAATTAAAGACAGCGCCTATATATTGTAGTTTAAAAAAAACAAAACAAAAACAAAACTGCATCATATTATTATGAACATCAGAAACCTTATATTTCCACTCATAATCACATAAATACTTAACATAAAACATCGTACGTACCTGTGGGCGTTTTGATTAGTCCGGATTCGCTTCCTGGTATAGTTATCCCACTGACAGTGTCTACGTTTGATAGGTCCGGACTACAAGTCGCGCCGACTTTTATACAAGCCTTGCAAGACATGCCAATCCTGAAACGTGGGTGTCGGGAACCAATCGGAGCCTTTCTAACATTAATTTTAAGGTAACAGCGTCACCAAATGTGATGATTTCAATATCGATATAATCTGTGAAATTCCTCGAAGAGCTTCACTTGACATTTCATTGATCGTTCTACTTAGCATGCATTCTCAGAGGTCAAGTCTGCCTCTGTGTTTATCTGAGTGAAACAAAACTACGTGTTATCTAACATGCGGTCAGTTTTGATGACGCTGAGATGGTGCAGATTTTTTGAACTTGCTAATCACTACTAATTATTTCATAACTGTTTCTGAACAATCAATTGTTACGGAAAAACTCCAAAACAAAACAAAACAAAAAAATAAATATATGAAGGGTCTTCAATAAGTTTCAGCTTGACATGTGATTACTGAAATGGGTGTGAGAAGCTTCAGTTGAACCCTTTGGTATACGAAATCCAAAATTCGTGATGACTTTCATAAATGACATATCAGATGGAAGCGAATTTGATATCTTTTTAATCACAAAATCGATTACTCACTCAGGCAACTATGATACGTTCCAACGTCATTCTTTTCTGCTCTATATCTACAGTGTGTATATTGTTACGTCACAATGAAATATGTGTGTGATGTCATTTGATTATCTATACATGGCGTCACAATAGTCTATATTAAATACTTGCACTACGCATAAAAATCCCCTAATTTCGGAACAAACAGCTGACAAGGTTTATATACTTTTTAAAACGTTTTTTTTTTTTTTACTTTTGTTTTTCTCACACTTTAAGAATAATTTGTTAATAACTATCCTGTTTTCAGTGTTATAACACTCATTACATATGTGATAAAGACAATATGAGTTTTCACTTAACATAAGACTTATCATAAGATTGTAGGAACTTAACATTTAGACCAGCCGACAATTTTTTTAAAATCTTTCATAAATCCTATGAGCTCGGTAGTAATGAAAACAAAAGTTAAGATAAATTATCATCTCGTATGAAATTCGCGTACGATTTCCTTCATACAGGTATAAACAAAACAAAAACGGCATTCCAAAATATCGGGCTGGACAAAGATATCAACACATTTTTCTTTAAATCACCATTTAAAACTCGTAATACAGTACGCGTAGAATAAGATCAATGTGTTAAGGAATGATAAAATCTTGTCCTTCCTCGGCAAGAAATGCGCTCTTAATATAAAATTAAATCGGGCAACGTTCCTAAAGTCTGAACTGGGGCAATAACATTGAATCACAACACGTTTCATAAAACGTATTATCAAAAGCACCGATATTCATACCAGAGAGAGATTAACAGACCTGTGTATCATTTATAACTAATAATTAGAACTTTAAATCAAGTGACGTTATGTAGATCTGGTCACACATAAATGTTAAGTCTTGTGTATCATTTATCACTTACCATATAAATGTATAAGTCAATGTATTTCCTTATATTTGCTGTTTTATACATAAAAAAAAAAGAATTTTTGTAGATAGAAGAAAACAATCTGACTTATTCATCAATGTGTTTTACGTCACATGTATTACGTACGTTTGAGGTGACAGTGTGACAAATGTTTGAATAAAGTAATCGCCCAGGTTGCATGATCTCCATGATGTGATTCGTGACTGCTACAAATAAGTTCTACTACGGGATATTCTTGTTTACAATCCCGCGAGGGATGGTCGAGGTCCTGGACAGTAAAATATTAGCGTCAAAGCCTGGACGTCACCGTATCGTCCTCAAGTTTTATTGACAATGTACTGTTTCGTTTTACACCAAAGCCGTTTTATAAGTCATACACAATACATCTGTTAATCTAGAAATAATGATAATGTCTAAAATTGGTTGTTTTTATCGTTAGAAGTATATAATCCTGAACATGACATAATGATGATGTCTAAAACTGGTTGTTTTTATCATTAGAGGGATATAATCCTGAACATGACATAATGACGATGTCTAAAACTGGCTGTTTTTATCATTAGAGGGATATAATTCAGAACATGACATAATGACGATGTCTAAAACTGGCTGTTTTTATCTTTACAATGACTTTAACACGACATAGATCTGACGTTTTTTAATAGCGGTTAAATTAACTATATTTAAACTTGATTAGAACAGTGATACGTCATCAACCGATTTCTATGGATATTAATTGTGCAAAATATAGGCACAAACGTCTTTTCTCGCTAACAGAAAATGTTTTTTGTAGTCCTCTTGGATATCATCTGTGGCTGGTCAATTGATACGTACAACTATCGTTCGTGAAGTAAATTATTGCTTGTTATGTGTAAAAGACTTCTCAGAATTGTGTCTTCCTTCAATTTACCTTTGAAAATTATTTTAAAATCTCTGTGATAATCTTTATATACACACAGTAGAAGCGACAGTGCTTAGTTATGTATACGAAAAAGGAGTCATAAAACGCCAAAAAAAATACACTAACTGAGCTCATATCATTGCCACCTTTTGATAATGTATCATTGGTCTGACAAAGCATTGCCTTCATTATAAAAGACAAATGCTGCGTTCCTTCATTTTGATCAGAGATGTTCCTGCTTCACAGCGATAGGTACATCAAAGAGAACATGTAAGATTATTTTCTATGGATCTATACCGCAGAAATGACAAAATTTCATCATACCTTAGATCATTGATTTCTAGTAGAAGACGTGATGTGTAACACATTTTAAATTACGAGTTGTGTTGAGCCTTCTATGTAGTGTGTATTTTGGGTCACGTCGTCACTGCTGCCTTGGCTGCTCCCGTGTGAATAGTGTGAGAACTATGTCAGGAAGTAAAGCGTAATAAAATATGAACACTGAGTGCAAGTTTATACTACACACACATACGACGTGAAATGGGCTTCACTGACCAAATGTTTACAACATAACGATATTAGTAGAGCAATTAGTTGACATTACTACGAATCAGGAGTACCGTGATGACAAACGAACATCTTGTGACTACTCCGATATTGATTCCTTTGCTATCAGTCGGTATCTACATTCATGTTAATACCTTTCTTCTTCGATGACTTCGAACACAGGAATCTTATTCGATTTTGCATTTTTTAAAGCAATGACGTTTTATCGTTGGCACTCTGGTCTTTGACATCAGCTGCTTACCTCTATTGGTAGTTTCGACGCAAATAGTCATTTCACTAGTAATATATATTGTAAACCTAATTCCTGCAGTGAACTTCTCATTTCTCGTTAACAACCTTCCGGTCTTCGTTCTAAGAAATTAACATGTCACTGACTCGATGTTGAAATGTTTGTGTCCAATATTTACGTTATCAATGTATATTACTGATTGACGTACAAACCGCGGTATTCATGATAAGTGTTAGGGAAAATAATGGTGAAGTGGCCTAGCAAAAAACAATGATCTCATTTGACCGTGTTTTCTGCTCCTTATTATGTCTGTCTAGGAAACCTAGTATAATTCTCTTTTTATCTGTATTCCTTAAGTTTTCGTTTTGTTTGGGTTCTTTTACCTTATCACGTGGCGTCAAAGCTAACATTGGAAACTTCTTGATCTTTATTTAGTCGAATTTTTAAAACATATTTTGACCTTGTAATGTCGAGTTGGGTTGAGAATTTCGGCTTTGTTTTCTCTCCGATTTTTTTAAAAGTGTGATTGTATTTATATATGAAAATGTTGCCACTCAAACATAGCATTGTTGAAACTTGAAAGATACGTTGTCTCAGTACTATGCAGTATCCGCAGTACACTTACATCAAAATTTTGTAAGGAAAAGTAACTGAAATATTTATGTTGTTGACTATGAGATTTTCAAGTCAATTATTATCAACTATATTTGTAGTGTCCCAGATTTCGTGAAATCGCATATTTTATGTCCTCGTTTCCAAATGAAATGACTTCCATTTCGTAATATCAAATGGTAATATTTTTCATCTGATGTTAACACATAAATTTCCAGTTTTACCAAAACTGTGCTATGTGACAAACAAGACGTTTAACTGGCCTAATAAACAGGTAATGAATTTGCAAGAGGAAGTCGACATTTCAGTGTTAATCCCAATGGAATCAAAGTTTATATCGTGGGTGAAAGCAAAAACTAAAATGGCGGCGGAAGCAATGTGACAGATGACCTGTCTTTTTAGTACACAAGTATGTCCAACATTCCAGCAGGCGACAGTTTCATCTGAGATGTAGATATGTAACCTGACAGCACCTTGTTTTTTTTTCTTTTGGGTCATTGCCTGCTCTTCAGGCGACAATCTTTAACTCTAGTTTTCTACCATAACCTTCACATGAAATACGCAGATTGAGAGAACAATATCACCAACAGCGAATCTGCTACCGATAAACAAGGAGGATGAGAGATTGAGATCAAATTATTCTGTTAATCACACATAACTGTTGAATTTTATTCCGTGTAATTATTTACCCAAAAGAGACATTTCTTTGGGAGTGATCCGTTCCATTGTGTGTGTTATGGCTCCAATAAAAGGTTAACATCATAACCGGTGTTGAGGACATCCCATGAAACATTAATTGTTTCCTACAAGTAGCAATTAATACAATATAATGGGCTTTCTTGTCGATAACAATTTCTGATATTGTTTTGTTTATAAGATTATAAAAGGTCCATTCTTAAATATTTATTGTCCAATTGAAGAAGAAATTCATAAACTGTCAATATAGTTTTTTTTTAGTATTGAAAATGTCCCCATTTCTGACAATGTTTACAGTAACGGACAGTGTGAAGACAAAGGGGTCAATTTGACACCGAACCCCTACAAATTAGACGGTTGGAACTGTGAAATCGTGGACAGACACACTAGTAATCGGCACATCTCAATACAATAGTATAGTTGAATGCGGTACAGCAAAATGATCAATTAAACTGAAATGGTTATGGGAAATGTTGTCACAAGAAGTCTACATTCAAAGAAAGGTGAACGGCGGTACAGATGTGTGG